ATAAATTAAAAGTTCAGAAAATTTTTAGAATAAAAAATTATAAAATTTTAGTTATTGTAAGGAAAACTAATATAATAAATAATTTTATAAAACACAAACTTTTATATAAAAATGTTTGCGCACACTAGGCAGCTCTGACACTTGTGATAGGAATGCAACACACATACACATGCGCACAAGGCTTCATACACGCAATTACATAAATACATATGTATGTATGTATATGCACCTAGTATATGCCCATATACGAGTTTTAATTGCCAAATGCGCAGCCTGTTCGACCAGTTTAACCGCCTTACTTGTTTGCTTGCTTATTCTTGTTGCAGCAATTGTTGTTTTTGTTTTTGCTGCCTGTAATTCTTATTGTGGTGCAAAACGTTCAGGCCCCTCCCTAAGGTCGTCTGCTGCTGCCACCCAACCACAACCAGTTTCCGATCAAAAGACGCCATTCGGCTGGCACTAGCATGTAGTTATACAAGTCAAAGAAGTTAAATGCATTCTATATGCTCTTTATAGTGTGTCGTTATTGTTATTGTTGCTCTTGCACTTTGTGTTCCCAAGTTGTTGGTGCATTGCATATCAAGCATTTTGCGATTTCAATTATAGCACATTCTGTCCAAAGTTTATAATATTTATAACTGTCTGCTGTTGTATTTATTGTGATACCATAAATGTTATTCTTGTTGTTAATATGTTATTAATTTTTATTACCACCACTTTTGTTAATTTCTGCATTGATTTCATTATTACGTATTACATAATTTGTTGTTGCCATTTGTTTATTATTATTGTTGTTCATTTAATTTATAGTTTTTGTTTATAATTTTGAAATTAGACTTTAGTATTACTCTCTCTTTCTCTTTCATCGTTTTAACTCATTCGCTCCTTTTCTATGTCACACATTTTCCTAAGTTTATTATTTCTCTCTCTCCCTCTCTTTCACTATTACTCTTCTTTATCTCTTTCTCGACCACTCTTTCCATATCGCTACCGCTCTCACTCTTTTTACCTCTCTCTCACTGTTCTAATTATTTCCAACTAATTTTTTTTATCAAATTTCGGTTATCCTCTAAAAGATTTTTAAAATATTTTTGTTCTAATTTTCTTTAATTTTTTTTTAATTTTTTTT